CTAGTAAGATAACTATAATAGTGTATACAATTGGGGACTAGGGACCAATCCTCACCGTATAAGTTGGTTTTATAGAATTCAATTAGGTCTAACCCCACTTTCTAAGAGAAGTTGTCCAAAAACATTTGTATTGAATTTATCAACTTCAATGATCAACTTGCAAATGTTTTGACTAAGTCTTTGAGAGGACCTCGAATTCATTACATATGTTCCAAGCTAGGACATATAATTTATATGCTTCAACTTGAGGGAGAGTGTTAGAAAAGTTTTGTTTTGTGATGCTTTGTTTGTCAAAAAAGTTGTTTTTGGTTGCATATGATCTTCCTAACTGTCCCTGCTAGTTGTTACTGTATTGTTTCATCTTTTGTTTTACCTTGTAAATTACCCAGGTGGGATCCATTTATTTCGGGAGTAAGTTTAAAGTAGACTTACGACATTCAATAATTCATATTCTACATCAAATTTCAACGATCCAACCGTTAAATTTAAAGTCTTTAATGCAGAGATCAATTCTACAAATTTTAAAAAATTTAAAAATCATTTGATACTTCGTTTTATTAATTCAAATCTTCTAAGTTCTGAACTCTTACCAAGCTACAAATTAGAGCTCCTTACTAAAAGAAATCAATTTACAACCTCAACGTGATCAATGAGCAACCACTGCATAATTCCATTTTTCTTATAAATTATAATTAAGCATCATCTAGACAAACAAACAAAAAAAACAAGGTCTTGTAAAGATGATTTGATGCATCATAACATGAGATAATGCAGCATATTGACACCATTTACTCATTACATGTAAACTCTGTTATCTTGGATTGCAGGAATCTTACTTCTACTCAGGTCAACAGCATCTGCTATGCGATATGACTGATCAAATGCTCCAAAGTCAGAAACACAAAAGGAATCAATTGTCTGCCTCTCTGTATAGCTGAAAGCCATACTTTGTCAGAATTGCATTAAAACAAATCTGTCTTTATGTTTCATTTTAGAGAAAAATCACATAAAACAGAAGTCATGTATAAGTTGGTGAATGCAAAAATAAAAGGTAGAACACAGAATCAAGTTCCCAAATTACCAAATTGTAAGGAATGGGTTTTGGGTAAAGTCAAACAGAAACTTGAGATTTTTCTGCTGTATACATTCTTAATTGGGGTTCTAACACAAATCCATGATTTTTCCTTCTACAATGCTTATCCTGTTCTTACTAAAACAAAATCCAGATTTCCATTAAAAGGAGAAACTTAAGAGCACGATTACTGAAAATGAAAAGGGAAACAAAAGTGAGCAAGGAGATCCTTGACATACATTATACTTTGTCTATGGTACTATAAAAAATTATCACAGTTCATCCCTCCCCATCCCCAAATTGAAGCTGAAGGCTTTCACATTAAATCTCAGGTAACTGTGCTGCATCTGTGAGTTCAGTTACCATGTGGTTTGCTGAAATTAGTCCTATGCATAGCCCCAACAATCATGAATTGAAACCTGCCTAACAAAGCCTTGGGATCAAATCCGGTTTCTCTTAAGCTTTATATCCTTCTATGCGAGCTGATAATGGGGTAGCCCATCCATATTACCGCTAAAAATCCTCAAAGAGGTTGGTGTTGAACACCCACAGGCCACAACTAATAAGTAAAACAAACATTCACAGCAAAAATAAAAGGAGTGAAGAAACAAATAAGGTTTCTCTACCAATTCAAATTCTAAGCCATGAATAAATGCAAAGAGGATATTTACCCTGCATTGGACACGGGCCACTCAGAATTGAAGCTCGGCATCCCTCTTTCAGCTCCCCTGTCATCTTCAACACCAACAACCCTGGTTCTACTCCCCATACATCATTCTCACCACCACATCATCAATTCCCCGGCAATTCAACAAAAAAACCTAACAACAAAAACAAACAACAAATTTAAGAACAAAATAGCGGCTTCAGTAAGGTTAAAACCAACAGTAAAGAAATTCTCAGAACTAGAACACAGAGCAAACCAATCACAAAAGGAAATTACAATTGCAACCTTAAAAAGCATAAAGTGAATTTCAATCACAACAACATAGTGAGACCAAGAAGAAAGAAAAACAAAATCACAAACTGCAGCAGAACCAAGAACCCTGAAGTTTCAGTAACTCGTGCGAGAAAAAAATCATCCACATGTGTCGAAAAAGTGCAAACTTTAGCACATCGTGTACCCACAAGCCAAACTCACGGAAAACGAGAACACACCCCACCAAGCAAGTGCTCCAAAGTCAAAGCAACACACTTTGAGAAGAAAATGACCAATTTGACACCACCCAATATGCCCCAAATGAACAAATTTAAAAACAAAATAAATACTTAAAAATAAAATAAGAGCACCAAATCCATGCTCAAAATCAAAAATTTCAAAAATCACCTAGCTCCAGTTGCACTAAAATCCACAGTAAACATGACGGCTACTCATGCAACATGAAACTATAATAAAAGATTAAGCAAAACCCACCTTGGAATTCTGATGATGATGTGCTGTGATAGTATTGTTCAACTTTGTATGTAGTTATTGGATTATTGAATTGAAGTAACAAACCGAGGAGAGAGGAGAGGGAATGATGAGAGAGACGGATGATTCCAATCTCTAGAGTCTAGATGTCTTCTTCTGCTCAAATCTTCCACTTTCCAAGGAATATTATTTTTTAATTACATTGTTATGGTAGTAATGTTGCAGTCCTATATATTTTTCCTTTAATTGATTATATTTTTTTATTCATTGTAATTGAAATTAAGATGACCATAACAAATTTTAAATTAGGATAATGTATAAATTATTTCAGTTAGGTTAAGTTTATTATTATTTAAAGTATAATTTATTTAATAAAAAATCAAATTTAGATTTTTAACAAATTTATATATTTAGAAAAAGATAAATTTAGACTTATAAAAAAATTATTAGATTTTATAAGCCAATTTATTTATTCATGATATAATAAAAATTTATATATATATATATATATAACATTATTAATAATATAATTAAATAAATAAATTTTAATAAAAATTAAAATTATTATTGTTTTTTATATTTCTATTATACTTAAATATTTTATATTCCTTGTTCATACAAAATAAAGATATCAAAAACGAAAATCCTAATAACTACATCTTCATTTACTTTTCTCTTTCATTTTTAGAGTTAATTATTTAAAATACTTTAAATATGATATAAAAAATATTTTTTAAAAAAATAATGAGATTATCTTTTTTATTATAATTTGTACATGAATATACGTTAGTATACATAAATATGTCTTAATTGTTTTTTAATTAGTTTTTTATTTTTTATTTTAAATTTTAAATTTTAATAATAATAAAGTAAAATATTTTATATCATACAAATTAAATAAAGACTCATACGTGTACTTAAAAATGTTATTGTTAATTTATTTAAAATTTTAAATTCATTAACCTATTTAATGTTGTTAAAGTAAAATAGATTTTTAAACAGACTAACCGCAAAATTGACTTTTTAATAGACTAATAGATCATCTCATAATTTTATAAAATCAAAATCTATTAAAAAAATTATAATAAATAGTAGACTAGACTTAGTCTTTAATTTTATATATCAAGTTTGATTTATATATTCAAAGTCTATCTTGATTTATTTTTATCTCTACTTATTACTAGATTTTTTAACGACTTATATTATTTTATTATTGATAATTAATAATATTTTTTGATATTTTATATAATATTACTTATAAAAATTCAACGGTTTTAATAAGTTGGAGAATTATTTTTTTATGAAAAAAAATTCTACTTAAATTAAATAATATTATTATAAATGCAAAAATTTTGCAAATATTTCACTTAATTACATTTTCCACAATAGTGAATCTAATAATTTTTAACTACATATTTTACCGTATGCATTTGTATATTCTTGTTTGTGGATTAATTAATTTATCTTTTTTTTGTTTTTTTTTAAGTAATTTTATCGTATTAGAGCATCCGAAATGAAATCAGAGATTTAGGACACAGCTCATATAAAAATTTTCACTAAAATAAAATTTTTTTAACAAAAATATATAAAAAAAATACCTGTACTATATTATTTACTCAAGTAGCACCTTTCACTGTTCACGTTTAGAATTCGGTTCTCGGCGAACCGTATTTTGAACTGTTAAATTTTCTTTCTTTTTTTTGCGTTTTGGATATGAGTATGGTGTAAAACTGGATCTAGAACGGGCCATTCCGGATGAAAAATATATACATGACAAATGGATCAAAACGGACTATTCTGCTTGGACGTTCCAGTTTCAAAATTAACTGACTACGCGTGCAAGCAGAACGGTCCGTTCTGCTTGGAGAACGGGCCGTTCCAGTTGCAACATTAATACACAACCTGAACTACAAACAGAAAAGAAAAAAAAATTAAACACTACTCAGAATTCGATTATTGGGAAACCGAATTCTGAGTGTGAACAGTAAAAGGTGTTACTTCTGTAAATAAATTAGAACAGATGCTGATTTGGTAAAAAAAATTTTATTTCAGTAAAAAATATGTCCATATATATCTCATGCACTTAGCTTATTTTCGGTGCAAAAGTCGTGATGTCAATGTGCTATGGTGGAAATGGGAAGACATTAATTTAACGTCAATTTATTTTTCTTATTATTTTTAGGCTTAAATATGTTTTTAGTCCCTTTGATCCTTCAAATTTAAAATTGTTGTTTTTAGTCCCTGTAATTTCAAAAAATCTTATTTTAGTCCTTACATTCAAATTTTGTTAAGAAATTTATCAAACATTATTACATAAAATTTACCTATTGATATCTTATTAATGAAAATATCACATTAAATCCAGTTGATATTGCATAATTATCTTAATTAGTCACTTTCAAATATCTTATTAGTGACATAAGAAACTAAAATAAAATTTTTAAAAATTAAAGAACTAAAATCAACAATTTTAAATTTGAAAAGAAAAATTATCTTATATTTAAAAGACTAAAAATATATTTAAACCTTATTTTTATTATCTCAAATTAAAAGAACATTTTTCAAAATCTCATCATCGTGTTGCGTCATCACTTTGATACATGGCACCTCCTCTCAGACATATAATGTATTCATTTTCCTCCATCGCAGTCTAGATAACCACAACTAATAATCCGTACATATGCACAAACACCATTCCTATTCACATCATCATCAATTCAACAACAGATCGATGCAAAATGAAACACATAGAGGATCATCATATTCATATGTATATTCATACAGAAAAACCAAAACCTATGACATGTCGAAGCTCATCAAATCATATTGAAGGTGTTGTTGGTTGAAGGGCTCCATCAAGGACCTCGAGAGAAAGTCACTGTACTCAGGCTTCAACAAATTGGCATCCTCAAGAGGCAAATAGCCCTTTGCAAATTGTTGATGAGTTCCACCCTTATTATTGTGCACTCTCTCGGAATGGCACCCATGCAAATGTTCTTGATCTTCTTCTTCTTCCATAGGCATGGTTTCAGCAACGTTGGAGTATTGGCCAGTGAGCTCTTGCACAAGGGCCCTGAAATTGGAGGCACTAGCCTTCACCTTCACGGGGCTCGAAATATATGTAACTTTGATCTCCTTATTTTTGTCCCTTCTGCTTACCCTTTTGTTCTTCATGATTGATCCAAATCCAATCTATGTCAATAATATATGTTGATGACACAACACAAACAAGAACAAAATGAAACAGTGGTAGTGTTTATGTGTCTCTATGGTTCATAACATAGTACCATGTGTGTAGTGGAATATAAAATGAACAAGTTGCACAAGCCCTTTTATAGGGTGGGTCATGGGGGGTGTTGGTCAAAGAGGGAACTTCGAGGAAAGAGGCTAAGGTTTGAAAATGTTGGATCGTGATTTGACTATTGAAAATAATAGTGAGGACGACATTATTAATTGATCTGGAGGATGAGATTAAAGTATTGGAGATGCTTACGTGACCCGTAAGTGGTATGTGTTTGTGACAACGTTATGTTAATGTTTGTTTAATCATTATTGTTCTTGTTCAATGAATGATACTCGCACGTGCGCAGCCTTGTATGACTCGGATCGGATAAACTTCGGTGCTTGGAAACACTAGAAACTAGGTGACGTTGGGTTATTACTTTTTATTTTATTTTTATAGTAACGATGACATTTGATGACAGAGTAGTCTCTGATTTTAAATTTTTATGGAATTTACTAAAAGTAGAAAATGACCAGACCTTTTGCCAGGAAAAATGATAGATTGATGTTTCGAAAATTATTTTGAATGATTAAAATATTAATTTAAATTATAAAGTATTAAATTAAATAATTATTTTATAATAAATTCGTTAAAAAATATTAATATTTTAATATTTTGAAAAATGATTCGAAGGTCATTTTGGAGGATGTATTATTATTCTTTTACCAGTAATTTCATTAGTCTTGTGACTTTATGAGGTTAACTTATTTTTTTAAAGAGTGCTCTCATTAAAATAAATAAAGGTAAGGGAAGCTAGGATTCATGCTGGTTGTACGAAATTGAGTTTAGAACTCATTGATGGTTTGATGATTTGATGATTGTTGGCTGTTTTTGAGGAAAAATGGGCTTTCGGGGTTTCGGGGTTATGATGAAAATTTTGGGGGTTTTTGATGATGGATGGATGCATGTTGTAAAAGCTGGTATTTTCGGGTTGTTTGATGAAAATGTGGTACTTTGAACCGTTTGCATGTGGATTTTCTGAATGTTGTGTTTGGCCACTATTGTGGTGCTGTTATAGCCGCTTTATCGGTGCTGCTATAGCCACTATTGTGGTGCTGTTATAGCCGCTTTGTCGGTGCTGTTGTTAGCCACTATTGTGGTGCTGTTATAGCCGCTTAGCGGTGCTGATATTGTTGAATTGTTATGGTGTAGTATAAGCTATGCGGATGTGCTGATAGTTGTACCTGTTTTCTATCATATTGCTATATATGTATGTTGATTTCTTTACACTAGCTTACCCTTTGTTGTTTCCATGATGTTTGGACTGTGATGATCATACTATGTATGGGAGCAGATCAGGGATAGGTTGGTGGCTGATGGTGAGTCTGTAGCGGGCAGGCGGAGTTGATCCTTTAGATCTTTTGTTGTTTAGCTACCCAGTAGTGTAGCCTTTGATGTATTTTGTACACTTTAACTCTATCTAGACTTGGATCATGTATATGTATATATTCTAGACCTTATATGTATACACTTGTTCCTTTCAATG